GCCGCGGCCCCCGCCGCCGCCCGCCCCGCTGCTACTGCGCCTCATCCCCGTCAGCGTCCACCGCCGCGGCGGCGTGCGCGCGGCAGCGGCCGCGCTCTCGGCAGCGCGGGCGGCCTGCAGGCTGTTCATGGGCATCACCGCTGCCGCGGCCGCGCCGCCGCCGCCGCCGCCGCATGCCTCGTCCTTGAGCTGTGCCAGCTCAGCCATCAGCTTCTCGTGCAGCACCTTGGCGGCGGTCACGGCGAGGCGCGGGGGCCCGAGGCTGGTGGCGGTATCGGGCTGCTCGCCGGTGAGGAGGTACCTAGGGGGAGATTGTGTGTGTGTGTGTGTGTGAGAGAGTGAATGTGTGTGTGTGTGTGTGTGTGTGTGTGCGTGTGTGTGTGTGTGTGTGTTTGTGTGTGCATGTGTGTGTGTGTGTGCAGCATCACAACGAATGAGGGGAGCATGCCGGCCTGCTGTGAGTGCAGGGCTCATAGCAGGGCGCGGCACGCGCAGCAGCTGCAGTAAGGTGGACACAGGGATGGGCGGGACCGGGGGCGCTGTGCGGTCCCGCTGGGCACGCGCTCCTGCGCACCTGACTGGGACCGATGGGTCGAGCAGCTCACTCAGCCAGGTGAACTGCACACAAGGATTGGGAGCAACGCATGCGCATCATAGTCAAGCGCATGTGAGTGTATGGTCAAGCTTTGGGCACAGGAAGCCAGAAGGGGCGAACGGCCGGCGACCTGCGCCTGCTTGCGTCGCGTGTGAACGGCGACGATCCCGCCTGCTGGCGCGGGGATGTAAGCGGGACGGGTGGCGCCCGCAGGCGCTGCGTCTCGCGCACACCTGCTTGCGCATGGCCAGGTGGTAGGGCAGGCGGCCGTAGTCGTTGCGCACGCCACGTGGGTCGCGGATGTGGCGCGGCGGCGCGTGCTCGGGGCACAGCAGCCCGCTGGTCTCAACCTGGGGGCGTAGCAGGGGGCATTTGGTTGCGGTTGGTCGGCGTGCACCCGACCAGCCAGCCGGGAAGCATGGGGGGCGGCGACTGGCGGGCGTGGCAGGAGCCAGAGCGAGGGCACGCATGCACGAGCACCGTCACAGCGAGCAAGATGCGCCTCGCCCAGAAATCGCATGCTGTTTGCCACTCACAAATCCCTTGAGCAGGATACGGATGGCCTCGATGCTGCCCTTGGCGGCGGCGACGTGCATCGGTGTGTCCCCCGCATTCACGCTGGCCCAGTCCAGATCAGGGTATTCGGCCTGCGTGCGGCAGCGGCGCACGCGCGCGCGTTTCAGTCTGTTGCATGCAGCGGTCTGTTGCCCTGTGCGCGCGTTTCGTGTCGCAGAAGTGCCGTACAAAAACCTGCCGGGTGCAGCAGCTAGTGGTGAGCCCAGGGGCTGGCAAGGTGGCCCGCCAGTGCCGGACTGTATTATCCAGGGGCGGCAAATGCGTGTGGCGCACCAAGCGCCACGCCTGCCGCGCCGCGCTGCGCTGCGCCGGGTCCCACCTGCGCGTTGATGTCTGCGCCGGAGCTGAGCAGCAGCTTCATCGCGTCGTACCGCTCCTCATGCACCGCATAGTGCAGCGCCGTCAGCCCTGCATGGTTGGCCGATGACAGCAGCAGCTGCCGCTCCGTCGGGCCCCGCTGCGCCGTGCCAGGCGCCGCCGGCGCGGTGTGGGCGGCCGCGCCGAGCAGCAGGCGCACGCAGTCGATGTTGCCGCCGATAATGGCGTAGTGGAGCGCGGTCTGGTGGCGGATGCGGTCGTGGATCAGGAGCATGGCGCCTGCAGAGTGGAGAGCGGGGCAAGGCAGCGGCCGATGAGGCTGACCAGCTGCAAGGGATGCCAGCATGCACCACGCCATGGCTGCACAGAGCATGCGGAAGCTGGATCAGTCCACCCGCACACATGCAGCCACACGACTGCAACAACCAAGATTTCTCACCCACCCTGCTGCAGCAGCCACTTGACGACCTCTGTGTGCCCTCGCGCCGCCGCCAGCATCAGCGGCGTGCACCGCTTGAAGTTGACCAGGTTGACCAGGCGCTTGACGGCCTCCTGGGGGCTGGGGCCCACCTTCAGGAGCGCCTGCACGATGAGAACGGCGCGAGCGGCGCTCAGCGGTCCGGAAGCGGTGAGAGCGTGCCGGCCGTCCAACCGCCCACTGCGCTCCGCCCTTGGGGCGCTGCTGTGTCGCGCCGTCGCCGTCACCGCACCTGCAGCTGATGACCCTCCTCCGTGTCCTTTGGCGCGCTGTATGCGGACTCCACGGCGTGCGCCATCGCCTTGAGGATCCCCAGCTGGCCGGATTTGGCGGCCTTATGCCAGACCGTGTTGCCACCAGAGAATGTGCTCCAGTACACAAACCCAAGGTTGTGGCGCAGGGCAGCGCCCACGTCTGCGACGTGTCCATCCTCGACCGCCTTGAGCAGCCGCCGTCCCTCGGTCTTCACGCCGCATGACGACTGCTCGGCTCCCATCGCTGCTGAAAGCGCGGCGCGCGCCGAGCTCCTGCGGCGCCCGTCAGCGCCGCCTGGCGGCGGCCGCCCTCACGAGCCAAAGGCGGGAGGGCGCCCGATACGCGCTCGTGCCGTCTGCGCTTTGCTCTGGCTTCAGCCTGGGGCAGCAGATGTGGGGCAGGAGCGCGGCCCACGGTGTACGTATGCGGTCAACAGGCGCACTGCTGCCCTGCACTTGACGTCGCCTGATCTTGATGCGAGGGTCAGCCCGCCACAGCTGTATCAGATACCCTGATGACGCAGAGTATTTTGCTCAGGCTGACATCCCGCGGCGTGCTCCGCCGTGGCTGCAGCCTTACCCCACGCTGATCCGACAATGCCTTTCCAAGCACTCTCTATAGTACAATAATAATACTCAAGTAATACGGCAATCTGAATAGTCCAACGCAGGAAAACGGAAAAACTCTTCTGCCGACTGCCGCGCAATCAAATAACAGTCCTCTTCGCGCCTACTCACCGTGAATGAGGTTGAATTATAGTGCAACAACCAGTCCCTACAGCCTGACGGCGCCAGGGCGAGGATCCGACGTGCTGGCCCTTGGGTCGTGAAAACCAGCCGTCTCACAACAACTTGTGCTTGCGTTGAGCTAAGCGGAACTTTCGATGCGGTATACGTGATACGTCATGCAGTTGGCGGATTGGCGTGCTGCCTCTGGGATTCGCAGGGACGCAGCACCTGCCGAAGGCACCCGGACCCTTACTGCAGGCACAATCGTCGTGGAGTTGTCATCCACCCGACCACCCTCACACTTCTGAGGCCCCCCCAGCAATGTCTGCGCCGTCCCTTATTTACTTTCCCCCGTCGCATGTTGCGGCCGGCGGGACAGGGCATATGTAACCACAGGGCTGGGCCGCAGCCAGGCCGAGACAACCGGGGGATCCAGCCGCCGCGACGCAAGGGGCGCCGCTGGCGTCACCGCACCGCACCAACCGCCCTGCCGCTGGCGGCGAGCTGCTCACGGAAGCCCTTGAGCCAGTGTGAGTGCTCACGCAGCATCGCCTGGCCCATCTCCCGCTCGTCCTTCCATCGTGTGAGGAAGTCCTGCAGGGTTGCAATCCGTGGGCGCAGTTGCAAGGAATGAGCGCGGGCTGCAATGGGTGAGCGCCCGCAGCGTTGGGGGTGTGCGCGTGACGGGCTCAACTACAGTGACGCAACGGCAGAGAATATGAGGGCCTGCAGCTTCTGCCAGGTGCTGATGCGAGCCGCAAACCCTTTGCCAGCAGTTCAACAAGGCCTGCAACCCCTTGAGACGCCCACCAGACTGGAATAGCTGGTCCCGCCGTGCAGCATGGCGTCCTGCTCCCACGGCTGCTGCTGCTGCGGCTGCTGCTGTTGCTCCCGGCCCGGCTGTCGGTCTCGGGGACCCCCGCTAGCATCGACTGCCTCGCCCGACGCGTGCGGGCCCTGGGGCGGCACCACTGCTGTCCAGGGCTCCGCTTCCGCTTGGTCTGCTTCGCCATCCTGCACCCATGTGCCCCAAAAGGCTGGCGGCTGCTGCCGCTGCTGCTGCTGCCGAGGGTGGTGCTGATGCGTGCCGAAACCTTGCCCGCTGCGCAGGCCTGGCCGGCTGTGCACCAGCGTGCCCAGACCCCAGCTGCTGCCAGCGGGGCCCCAGCCGTCCAGCGGCTGGTGTGAGTACCGGTCAGCAGGCGCGGTGGCGCTCAGGTGACCGCTGGCTGCGATCAGCGCCCCCTCCAGGGCCGCGCGTATACGGCAGAACGAGTCCGACACGCCCGCGTCGCCGCCCAGGCTGCCGCCGCCCGCGGCACCCAGCGAGCCCAGGGCATGGGCTAAGCTGCCGGGTGGCTGCTGCTGCTGCAGGAGAGGCCAGGAGTCAGCCAACCCGTTGCGGCTGCAGCTGCCGCGCAGTTGGTGCTGCGGCGGCCAGGTGGGCGCCGCCCCAGGTGGGGGCGCACTGCCCTCGCGCATGGCCTGCGCGCGGTGGCTGAGGATGGTGACATGGCTCTCCAGGTCCTTCACCTGGGGAGAGCCAGAACAGGAGCAACAAGGGCCAGGCGAGGCCGAGGCCGATTGGGAAGAGAGCGATGATGAGGGATGGCAGACCGAAGGAAACATGTTGCATCTAACCGGCACAAGGCATAGAAAGAAGGCGAGCGGCGCCCCGTTGACAGGTGGCGCGCGCCGCCTGGCAGGCCGCGCGCAGCAGCCGCACCTGCGCCTTGAGCGCCTTGAGCCGCCGCGTCTTGCCGTTAAGCTCGTGCACCTGCTGCTGCAGCACGCCCTTCACGCGCCGCAGCTGCGCCGCCGCCGCCGCCGAGCCCCCGCCGCCGCCCTCCGCCCCGCCGCTGCCCGCGCCGTCGCCGTCGCCGCGCCGCCGCGCCTCGAGCGCTTCGTAGTCGCTGCGCCACTGCGCCTGCGCGGCCAGGATTGCCTCCTGCCGCTCCCGCACGAAGCGGCGCTGCTGCTGCAGGAATGCACGCGCGCGGGACAGCAGGGCGCCGTAGTGGCGCAGGTCGAGCCCCAAGGCCTCAAGTGCTGCCGCCGCCGCCGCCGCCGCCGCGCCCGCCGACCCGTTGCTATGCCGGGCGGCCGGCGGCGACGCGCGGCTGCGGCGCGCGCAGCGCTCTCGGGAGCCGCGGCGGGCGGCGGGCTGGCGCTGGCTGCGCGCGTTGCGCCGGCCCCCGTCCTCGTCCGCCTCGCTGCCGCTGCTGCTGTCGTTGCTGCCGCTGCCGCTGTCGCTGCTGGTGCTGGTGCGCAGCGGCCGCAGCCGCCGCAGTCCGTCATCCCGCTCGCTCCCGCCGGGCTCCCGTGCAGGCACGCCGCCGCGATCAGCGGCGCTCCGCCGCCCACCCTCCTCAGCCGCGCCCTCGCCGGGCGCGTCCTGCTCAGGCTTTTGCGGCAGCCGCAGCGTCGAGGCGCGGCTGCCGCCTTTTTGTGGGGGCTGGGCGGCGTCGGGCGCTCGCCGCTCGCCGTGCGCGGACGCAGTTCCCATGCCGCGGCGCATGCTGGGTGCGCTGTGGGAGTCGAGCCAGTCGTGCACCTGCAGGCAGCGATGCGTGTTGTGGTCGAGCCCCGCAGCTCAGGGAACAGCCCCGCATGCCAAGAGCCTCACATAGAGCCTGAGCGTTCACCAGTGACAGCCACACAGGTCGACGTCACACAACAATGACAGCCCACCTGTTCCTGCTCCGCCTGCCGCTCGATGCGCCGCCGCGCCGCCGCCAGTGCGCGCGCCTCCTCGGCCTCGATCTGCGCCCCCACGCGCAGCTCCATGGCGCGCCGCTCGCTCTCCAGCAAGCGCAGCTCTGCGGGAGGCGTCGGGCGTGGAGGAGTACTAGAAAGTGACGCGGGCGCCCGCGCCTTCACGAGGCGACACGCCGGCGTGTTGTTACGAGGGCTGTGAAGCGGCTAAGGCCAAAGCAGTTGGCAACAAATAAGGGGCGCATGCGTGCCACCCCGCCTCACCTTCCTCCGTCAGCAGACCCTTTGCGGCGGCGTAGCTGTCGCGAGCGGCAGCGTCCAGGCGCTGCGACACGCCCGCCAGCTCGCTCCTGGTGTGTGTGTTTGGGGGGGATTTCGTGTGGAGAGGGGGGCCGTCACTCTGAGGGCACGCAGCAACACACCGGAGAACAGGTGGGCACACCTCAGGGTCCGCACGCACGCAGCGGCAGGTGATGGAGCGCTGTGCAGGCAAGCAACCGGGCAGCCGTGCGCGCCGGCCCCCGGTTTGAAGCAAGGCGGGCAGCCGACCTGCGCGCTGCCAGCGCCGCGTCCGCCTGCTTCAGCGCCGCGGACGTGGTCCCCAGGTCGGCCGCGGCGTCCGCCAGCGCCGCCTTGCGTGACGCGAGCTCGGCCTCGGTTTCGTCCAGGGCGCGCTTGGCGCTGCAGGGGGGCGGGGAGAGGGCAAGGACAGGCAAGGGCCGCGCGTCGTGCGCGCTGTTGCCTGCAAGAGCCAAATTGTGCTCTCTGCAGCCACCACCAGCGACGAGACCATATGGCGACCGCCGGTGCAGCCTTTGGCACCTGCTGACAAGCCATCAAGGCCGCCCGCCGGCCCAAGACAACAGCCACCCACCGCTCGAGCCGCCGCTCCGCGGCCTCGAACTCGGCGTCCGACTTGCGCCGCAGCGCGTCGCTCAGCCCCGCCTCGAGGCGCCCCGACTCGGCCTTGCGGCCGGCGACGTCGGCGGCGAGCCGCTGCAGCTGCGCGGTGCGCGCGGAGACCTCGCGGTCGAGCGCCTCCAGGGCCGTCTGCGGGCAGGTCGAAAGCGAAGCCTCGAGGTCAGGTCAGGTCATTCAAAGTGGAAGCGCGCCGCGGTGCCGAAACATGCAAGTGCTGGCTGGACGGAGGCTCGCAGCACGGGTGCTTGGGCGATGCAGTGGCGCGAGGGGGTGAGCAGCGGAGCGAGCGCGAACAGACAGGGTGGGCGGGCGCGCCGCGCGGGCCGCACGCGCACCTGCCGGCGCGCGCAGTCGTCCTTCAGCGACTCGAGCCGCCGCCGCGCGAACGCCAGCTCCGCATTGCTGGCCTGCTGCTCCGCCGCGGCCGCGACCGCCTCTGCCTCCAAGCCGGCCAGCTGCCGCTTGGCCGCGGCGGCCGCCGCCTCGGCGGCCGACGCGGACGCCTCGGCCTCCGCCGCGCGGCGCCGCCGCTCGGCGAGCTCCGCATCGGCCGCGGCCAGCGCGTCCTGCTCTGCCCGAACCTGGCGCTGCAGCGCGGCGAGCCGCTGCTGCTGCTCCTGCTCCTCCTCCGCCCGCCGCCGCGGATCGCCTGCGCCACCGTCATGCCCCGCCGCCGCGGCGGCCCCCGCCGCGCGCTGCTCGAGCTCGAGCAGCAGCGCCGCCTTGGCCGCGACCGCGCCGTCCAGCTCCTCGAGCTCGCGCCGCCGCGCCTCGAGCCGCGCCGCCGCGTCGGCGAGCGCGCCGTCCAGCTCGCCGCCCAGCCGCTGCAGCAGCTCCGCGCGCGCGGTCGCGCGGTAGCGCTCGCCCTCGGCCGCGACCTCCCCATCGATCCGCGCCCGCTGCTCCTCCAGCAGCCGCCGCAGCAGCGCGCTGCCCTCCGCGGCGGCCCGCTCGCGCGCCGCCTCCTCCACGCTCTCACGGACACCGTCGGCGCCGCCCGCGGCGCGGCCCGCGGGCGCCGCCGCCGCGGCGAGCGCGGCCTGCGCATCGGCGAGCGCGGCGCGCTGGCGCTCTACCAGTGCCGCCAGCGCCGCCTCCTGCGCGTCTGCCGCCTCGGCCTCGCGCCGCCGCGCGGCCTCCTGCACCTCGGCAGCCAGCTGCTGCTCGTGTGCGCGCTCGCGCTCGGAGTACTCCTGCCGCAGCGCCCAGAGCCGCTGCGCGTGCGCGGCGTCGAGCGCGGCGCGCTGCTCTTGCGCCTCGGCCTGCAGCTGGCGCTCCCAGCGTCCGCGCTCCTCTTCCAACCGCTGCCTGCGAGGGCGGCGTGCCGGCGAGGCCAAGCACATCGGCAATCACAGGGGCACGAAGCAACAGCATGCGTAGCTCGGCACTGCAGCTCGGGCGCATTGCAGCACGCCATCCAGACTGTGCCGCAGCCGTGATTCATACGAGGCCACCTCACACCTGACGCGCCGCCGCTGCTCCTGATCCGACACCTCCTCAGCGACGCGCCACTCTGACACCTGCGACGCCGCCTGGGCGCCGCCCAGCGCCCCGCCCAGCGCGCCTGCCTGCGACGCCGTGCGAGACAGCGTCGGCGTAGTGACCTGCGCGGGGGGGTCAGGACAGGGCTTTGAGGCGGTGCGGTGCGACGCCGCGATCTGCATCCTATTGACGCGGATGTACATGGCGGCATGCCCCACAAGGAGCGTGGGGCATAGTCCCAGGAAAGCAGGCACAAAGCTCTACCCCTCTTGCCGCCCACCTGGCTTGACTGCTCGGCCCTGCTGGCGTATGACACGACTGTTGTTAGCTCTGGCTGCGATGGGCCAGCTGCAAACGCAGGCTGCTGCTGCTGCTGCTGCTGCTGCTGCTGCTGCTGCTGCTGCTGCTGAAGGAGCAGTTGCTGTTGTTGCTGCATGTGCTGTGGATACTGCTGCTGTGCGGGTTGTTGGTGGTGATGGTGGTGATACTGCTGCTGCTGCCGTCCGGCATTCAATGCCACTGGTGAGTCCACTGCGCTTGTCGCGATGCTATGCACGGTCGAAAGTGTGCTCGTAGGCGACTGCTGCTGCTGCTGCGGCGGCGGCGGCAGCAGCGGTGGCTGCTGTTGCTGGCCGGCCTGGGGGGTGCTGACGAATGCCGGAGGAATGCCAAACTGCAGAAATCCGCTAGGACGGGGTTGCTGCTGCTGTTGCGCCTGCTGCTGCTGTTGCGCCTGCTGCTGCTGTTGCGCCTGCTGCTGCTGCTGCTGCTGCTGCTGCAGGATCAGGGCGTGTTGCTGTGCGGCCAGCTGCTGTTGCGATGCCAGCTGTTGCTGCTGCTGCTGCTGCTGCTGCTGGAAGGTTTGCTGCTGCGCTGCCGCCTGCACCAGTTGCTGCTGCTGTGGATGCAGAAGTGGCTGCTGCTGCTGCTGCTGCTGCTGCTGCTGCTGCGGCTGCTGCTGCTGTTGCTGCTGTTGCTGCTGTTGCTGCTGTGCCTGCTGAAACAGCTGCTGGTGCGCCTGAGCAACCATCTCCTGCTGCAAGTGCGCCTGCTGGCCCCGCTGCTGGTGTGCGTCTCCCTGCTGCAGGCCCGCCGTGTGCTTGGCTTTCTCTTGCTGGTACAGGTTCCTGCATGGCAGAAATATACGAGGGATTGAGCCAGCCAGCCATGGCCAGGCCGGACAAACACCAGACGCATGCAGACAGGCCCACATCAGATCCGGACCGGCGGACAGAGGGCATCTCTGTATACGCACCCGCGCCAAGTCCTGCCAAGCTGCAAATCCCACAGGCTTCGTTGAAACACCCAATTACCGGTAGAAGCCGTCGCAGGGGTGGTCCCATATGCTCTCCCCGGTTGCAAAGTTGAAGTAGTAGATGTCTCCATTGGGGGTTTTGCTGCAGGGATGCGCCACAGGCGGCAGGTCGGTGGGCAGGGCGCGTTGGCAGGGGACCAACCGTATCCAACCGCCACGCCATCACGGGGTGCACGCAGCCAGTGCAGCCACTGTGCGCTCACCAGGGCTTCCATTCCTGCGGCAGCGGCGCCTTGAGACCCTCTCGAGCGATCCAGAGCAGCTCCTGCGCGCGTGCAGGCGCGCCGACACGCCAATTGGTGCGCTGGGGCGCGGCAACCTGCACGCTAAAGCACAGTAAAACCAGGGCATCCTGCAGGCCCGATTTCGCGGCGTGCCTCACCCTCTCCTTCTCCACATCCATGCCCAGCCAGTTGGCATACTCCAGGATCTCTGCAGGGCGGCGGCAGTGGCCCGATTGCGCCAGTCAGCGCACGGTTACCCTCCGGCAACAGTGCGGTCCACCTCCGCTGTTGTGCATCTGTGGCCTGACTCGCGTCCCCCAGGCTCAGCAAGCTCGCCTTGCTCGGTGGGTTCATAATTTTCGTCCAGCTCTTCCTCCAGCACGATTTGCTCCTCGGCCTCCATCAGCACAAAGGGGCTGCGGCGTGTGATCGGCAGGCCTCTGTGCAGGGGTACGTTACAATTTCAAAGCCATTTTATCTCTATTGTTGCGCCTTTCGCTGATGCAGGCAAAGTGGTTGAGGCCGACGCGGGAAGATCGATTGAAGCGCAACAACGTTGCTCTGTGTCAATGCGAACGGCGATTTTGGCACGCAACGACTTCCTCATGGCTGCGAAATCCCCTTGCAGGGTGGACGGCCTGTCATAGGGAGCACACACAGCATAATGTGTCGAGTGCGCAGCTGCTCGTCTCACTTGCGCACCCGCCTGTCTCGATGTTGCGCGGACCAGCGTGTGGCGGCGGCGCACACTCTGGAAGCAAGACTTTGGAGTTCATTGATGCTATCATCTTCCAGCATACGTGAGGCCCTCTCAGACGTCTTCCACTCGGCGTGGTGCTTGCCGTCGTGCTGCCCTGTTGGCCCATCCTGCGCTGACCACACCACACCTGCATCCCCTGCGCTGCAAAGCAGCGCGATGAATGCGCAACCTCTTGCACACGATGCCAGTCAACGGGGTGACTAATGCCTCTATGAGCCAGCTGGAACATTACTGCATCACGTCCACTGTACGACACCGCGAACACAAACACGCAAAACAACCAGATAGGTCCCTCGAAGTGAGCAGAAACAGCAAAAATTGCAGCCAAAACAGCGCGTACAGGCACCCAGGCAGCCAGCCGACGCATCCCAGCCCGCGTCAGCCGCGCCGCGCCCCCGCACCATGAGCCGCGAGCACCGCGCTCCGCGGCCAGAGCCGAAACTCCCCAGTGTCAGCGGCGGTACCGGGCGCGCTTGAAGTTGAAGTACAGGTGCAGGATGCCGCGGTCGTACGTGCACTTGAAGCCGCGGCGGTGTGTCGTCTCCCTGCGCGCGTGTGCACGTGTGCATGCAGCGGACGATCATAAGCCGCTCCACGCCCCGCATCAACCGCGCGCAGCTCGCGTGCGAGGCCGCCCCTCCCTGTGCGGCCCCTTACCCGCAGGGCCCCTGCCCCGTCCCACCCCCGCGCGGCCCTGTCTCTTCCAGCCACGCGTGCACCCCTCGCTGCCGGCCCGTTGGGCCTTTTACATTTCATGCGCTTGCGGTGCGCCCCGCGCCTCACCACTCCTTGTTGACTATGCGGAAGGCGATGTCCTCGTAGGGCGCGCCGGCCGTGAACACCAGGATGCACGTGTCCTTGCCGCCGCTCGGGTCGGGGTCCACGCGGTACGACGGCGCCTGGCGGCCCGATGGGGGGCGGATGCGGCAAGGAGGGATGCATCGAAGGGGCCGTGAGCACCGGCTTCCGGAAACGGCGTGCGTCGGGGGAGCAGGGCCCTAGGCTGCACGGCTCTCGGGGTGGCGGGCAGCGCACGCCCTTGGCGGTCCCTGCTTGCTGGTGCCCGGGCGCGGTTCGTCGACCGGGCCCCGCGGGCGCCCACCGTCTTCTTGTCTATGAGATCTGGGTAGAAAATGTTGAACTTGTAGCCCTGCACCACCTTGGGCGGCGGGTTGTCGTAGTCGTAGTGCGTCTGGTTGTACTTGTTCCACTCGTAGCCGGTGTGGATCCTGGCGGGTTGCGGGGAGGTTTGGGAGGGGTAAGTGGCAGTCAGAGGGCGGGAGCGGGCCGGAGGGAGCATGGCGCCGGCTGGGGGCGTGGGAGTGACCTAACGGCGGTGCGCAGGGTCGCTTGAGTGGGCTCGCGGCAGCGTGGGCGCCCTGGTGTCTTCAATACCCCTCTGCATCAACACTCACACACAAACACACACACACACACACACACGCAAACACACACAAGCACACACACATATGTACAAAGACGAAAACACAAACACACACCTGTTGAAGTACTTGGGCTTGCGGGGCGCGTACTTGTTGTGCCACCAGTACGCCTGGCTGGCGACCCCCAGCCCCACCTCGCCGCCAAACGGCATGTCCATGCCCGGCGCGCCCCCCGCCTCCTCATCATCGCCGGCCGCGCCCGCCATCACCTTCTCAGCCTGGGGGGGTGGGGGGGATGGGCGGTTGGGAGCGGTTCGAGGCGGTTGGGGGCAAAACGAAAGAGGCAGTCCAGAGGCCAGTAGGCGGCGAGGAGCGGCGAGGCGGGTGCGGCGGCAACGCACCGGGGCCGGGGCGGGGGTTTGCAAGTGAAAACAAGCAGCCTAGGGGGCCCCTGCCGCAGGGGGCCTGGTGCGCGCGGGCGACCAACCTGCAGCCGCAGCCGCCGCACTTCCGGGTCCTCTTCCTGGCGCTGCACCGGGCCCAGCCCGATGCGCGTTGGCGGGGCGACCGGGGCCGCGCTGCTGTCTGCGAGCGCCTGCGAGGCGGGGGGCGGCGGAGTTGCGGCAGGGGGCACAGCGGTGATGGTTGACGTGTTCAAAAGGGCTGAGGCAAGCGCTGCGGGAGCAGCAAGGCAGGCGCCAAGGAGCAATGGTCAAAACGTGGGAGAGACTCCAGCCACAGCAGCAGGGCGATGCATGCGATCCCTCTTGACGTTTGTTGCCGCAGGGCCCGCACCTCTGGCGCCGCCACGTTGCGCAGCATGGGGTGCACGGGCGCGAGGCTGCGGCTGGCAAACTGCCGCTGGTACGCGCGGTCGGCCGCCGCGCTCGCCAGCTGGCGGGCGGCGGTCTCCGACGCGGCCAGGTAGCGCGCCGCCTCCTTCAGCTTGATCTGTGTGGGGGTGGGGTCGGTGCAGTGCCTTTCATTCTCGGCCGGGGCACCGAGGCCGCATCAGGGGCGAAGAGGTCTTGGCGTACAAGGCAAGTGCGCCCAGGTCGAGCGTACGCGGGGGAGAGCGCGCGGGCCGCCCCTCGCGGGCCGCGCCCCTGCTGCGCCCGCTCGCGCCCGCGTGACACCTCTCGCCCCGGCCGGCGGGGCGCCCCCTCCTCCGCCTTCCCCCACCTCCCCTCCCGCCACGTGCGCGTCGTCCTGCGCAACAGCGGTCCCTCCGAGCAATCCACTTGAACAATCCCCCGCCCAAGACACACATACACACACACGCGCATACACACACACACACTCTCTCTCACTCTCTCTCTCTCTCTCCACTGTGTCGCCCCCCCACACCCCCGCCCCAGGGCGCACCTCCTGCCGCAGCAGCGCCAGTGTCCGCGCGTCGTCCTCCTCCGCCACCACCACCGCGCCCGCCTCCAGCTCCCGCGGGTCCACCGGCTCCGGCGAGTGCCGCCCGTCGCTCTCCTCCAGCGCCGCCGGCGTGCGCATGTCGCGGAGTCCGCCGACGGCGCCAATGCCGTGGAACTGTGGCTGCTGCTGCTGCTGCTGCTGCTCTTCCGTCCGCTGCTTGGCGCCAGGACCCACCGGCGGGAGGCCGGCGACCGCGGCGGCCGCCTCCTCGTCGCCCTCCTCCTCGCCTCCTGCTGGGCGCCCGCTCGGGCCCGCCCCCGCTGCCGCGGCCGCTTGGCCCCCCTCCTCGTCCTCCTCCTCGTCTGAGAGCGGAATCTCCTCTTCGTTCGCAACCACCCGACCCGCTGCCGCACCCGCCGCCGCCGCCGCCTGTCCTTCTTCCCCCTCCACATCCACCTCCGTCTTCTCCCGCCCCTCCTCGCCCGCCCGCCGCGCCGCCTCGCCGGCCGCGCGCCGCGCGGCCACCGCGGCCTCGTCCTCCTCCGCCTCTGCGTCTTCCGCCCAGCCCATGACCTCGGCGACGTCGATCTTCGCCGTCTCCTTGGCGATGCGGCGGCTCAGCTGGTCGGCGTGGATCTCGCGCAGCCGCGCGCGCGCGGCATGGATCTGGTGGGGATTGCAGACGGCCAGTGGGTGCAAACGTGGTGGTTAGGCTCATAACAGTACGCTGAGTGCTGTGACTGGACTAGACCAGACACACCAGGTTAATACGGGGGCTCCATCCCCCTGACGCCGCCTGCGCCGAAGCAGGCAGACAGCCGTCCACCAGCCCCGCGGCGCGCCCAGTCGGGCCGGCGCCCCAGTCCGGCAGCAGCAGTCCGCGCACCTGCAGGCGCTCCAGCACCGCCTCCCAGTAGTCCGGGTCCCCCTCCCCTGCCGCCAGGCTGCCGTTGATGTTGGCCTCCATCCGCCGCAGCTGCGCATGCGTCTGGCCCGCCAGCAG